TTGACCTCTCCACAGCATATAACAATTTTGATCATGTTTATCTTCTGTAGCACCCCAGTATTGCTCCCTACCTCTTTGGGTGCTCCTTCTCAGTGTCAATCACCAGCAATTGCTGTTCCTTAGCTCTCTGTCCAAGGAATTCTTGTTGTGATGGTTGTTTTCTCTTTACATACACCTGTAGGCTGGGCTCATCTATTCCTATACCTTCAATTTCCATCTATATGCTGGAGATTCCTGCTCTGAATTTGTAACTGTTAGGGTGTTTTTGATGACAAAATACAGAAAATTCAACTCCGCTGATTTTACAACAAAGGAGATTAACCACATTACATGACAGAAAGTAGGGTTGAAATACATTTCTGGGCTCATAATGGAGACACTCCTGCCCAGGGTGCCATGTCAGCAAACCAAACCTTGGATAACTTTCATGTTCCAGTAAATGCTCTGCTTGACCAGAGAGAGTATATTTAGCCAGCTGATACCAACTGCCAAGAATCTTTACGGATTTCCTTATTCTCACATATGCAGCCCCCGTCTATCAACTTCAGCCAAATACTCTTTGTTTATCCCTGACTAACCTGCTAGCTTCTTCTGGAAACTTCCAACCTCCAAGCCAGTCATGCGTTTCCTCATTGTTGCTTCATTATATAACCTTGCTCTTGCCCAAACATCCTTCAGGGAGCATGCACCACTGCTTGTGAGACACTGTGTTCCCCTAATCCATGAATTGTTTTCCCTTGAATAGAGGAATCAAACTTGTTGCTGAATTGTTTTATTTTTGTAATTTGGCAGTAGAGAGGAGGGGTGGTATTCAGGCATAGTTCAGTCAGGACCCTGGTTGTCCTCTGAAATTCTCTTACTGTCTTTATTTAACGTCATTCAACATAACAATGCTGAGAAGAGAGAGTGTGCTGCTTCACGAAGCATTGTCATAAATTTGAGGAAACTTCTTTCTCAGAAATCTTCAAACTTTTCCTGTTACTTATTGGCCCCAAATGGGTCACATGCCCATTCTTGAACCCATCCTTGTGGCTGAGAAAATGTCATGACTTCTTGATTAGTTTAGGCCTACCAATCCCTGTATCTATCACTGCAGCAATCACTGATTAGCTTAATCTTATCCCACCCCTGAGGACAGGGTCAGTTCCCCAAACTACATGGCTGCTATAAAATAAGGAAGGAATTAAATGAGCACAGCAAGGCAACCACACGTATGTCAGCTCTATCTTATTCAGTGGCAAGAGACTCAAAGTAAATTCTTGAAATGGTTATGTTAAGTTTCTAAGAGGCTAGTGTAGAGATACCACTGACCCTAAAATCTGCAGGAAATCATTGTAAAACTAGCTCTAAGAATTGTAATATCATGAGGACTTATGCATCTTTGACCTTTGAAATAAATGGCTAGAAATGACTAGGATTTACCTTGTTATATAATTTATATTTTCTTAAAAGAAAAAAAAAAAAAACCCAGCAGCAATTACTTTTTTGACTACTCAGAAAAATACATGTACCCAAAGCTGAACATCTCATAATACTGAGGCAAGTGACCTGAATTTTCCTGGTCTTGAAGAATCAAGTAATCAAGGGGAAGACCGAAATAGACAGCTCTCAAGCTGGGCAGTACTTAATGGATAAGAAGGACAATGAAGTCCTGCCCTTAACTGCTCTGTCAAGGTCATCCATGGTCTTCCGAGGTCAAATTTGCTCCTAGAGCAATCCCAGAAGATTCTTTCAAAAAATTACTATATTCATTAAGTAAATGTATGTACTGTCACTAATATTTGATCTCTTCTTTAAAAGCAAACCAGCATAATTTCCCCATCTATAGCTCCAAGCCTTTATTTTCCACAGACACTTTAGTATCCACATATCCAAATTTTAAATAATCTCTCCCTCTTCAGGCCAAAAAAAAAAAAATCCCTTTAATCCTCTTAGCTCAATAAATGATACCACCATATGCCACCCAATTTTCCAAAACCAAAACCTAGAAATTAGCCTTGACTCTTCACTTTCCCCCACCCAACCCCAATCAATCTCTAAATCCAATCAGTTCTACTTCCATTACCTTTTGAATCTGTCCATTCTACTGCTGTTACTTTCACTTAAGATTCATCAAAGACTCTACTGGGATCTCCGAACCTCCACCTGTGATCTCTACAATTCACTAACCACTGAATAGCTTTACATTTGTTTCTAAAACTCATCTATTCTATGCATGTTCTATCCTTACTTAAAACCTATCTGTGACTCTGCCCAAAGTCCTCTAAACAAAGCCTAAGTTGTTTTACATAACATAGACTCTGAGACCCCATTTTAGTTTTCCAGATCAGGAAAAAGCAAATTGCCAGCCAGCCAAATCCAGTCCACTGCCTGTTTTATACAATTTAAGGTTTTTACATTTTTAAGTGGTTGAAAGAAATCAAAAGATGAATATTCCCTAACACTGAAAACTATGAAATTCAAAATTCTGTGTCCATAAATAAAGTTTTATTGGAACATGGCCCCTCTCATTCATACTGTCTATAGCTGCTTTTGATGTACAAGTTGAGTAGTCATGACTAAACCAGTATGGCCTACAAAGCCTAAATACTTACTATCTGGTCCTTTATAGAAAAAGTTTGGCAACCTGTGCTCTGCACTCATCTCTTACCACTCTTCACTGTAGTCATCCCAAACTGTCTGAAGTCCCTAACAGATCACCCTTTTCTCTTTGACTTGCTTGGCACACCTCTCCATGTGTGTTCCCATAAAACTAACTCCATCTTAGCATTTAACAGTTATTCTGATTGTCCTTTTACCAGTCTGGTGCAAGTGTTCACCACCGAATCCTCAGCACAATCCCTGCTCTCCTTCAGTGCTTCATAAACGTGTGTTGATGAATGAGCAGCATCATGAAGAGATGAACAAGCCTGGGTTCCAGCTTTCAAAGGGAAGTCAGTAATATAAATAAAAAATTAATCCCTGAGGAAAAATGAAAAAGCACTAAAAAGTAGCACGTACACTGCAGCATATCCAAGGGGAGACAACTGCACCTGGGGAAAGGTGCCCCTTTTTTATGAGGAAAGACTAAAGAAATAAAATGGAATCACTATGGTCAAGTTGCTAAATTTTAAAGTCAAATAGGCTGAGGTATGACAAAGCAACTCTATTCTTGCTTTAACTAGCCCGGGAACTTAAATTTTTTAACTTTTCAGTTGTGTCTGAAGATAACTACATACATATATATAGTTGATGAAAGAACGTCCAGTCTAAGAGAAAGACTTAAAAGCATTTATTTGTATCAAATTGACAATTGCCAGGAAGCTAAATCCCAACAGATTGAGAAAATGCTCCAGAGAATGGCACTTTTTTTTTTTTTTTTTTTTTTGCAGCTTATTTTATACATTAGAATCATAGGAGAAGTCATAAGGAGGGTTACATGAAATTTATCGTTGGTAGGTTAGGGAGGCAGGAGAAAGCAAGGTGGAGAAATCTCTGAAACTGGTTAAAAACAAAACATAGAGACATACTTCTTTTATGTTGGTGGATACTGGATAGTTAACAGTTCCAGTACATAGAGATGGTATGCGGGCAAGAAGACAATGAGGGGTTCGGTGGTCTCCTGCTCTAGTGCCCGATATTGTGCCCTTTACTGGAAAAAAAACTATCCTGACATTTCAAAGGTATGTTATTTTAAATGCACAACAGACAATAGACAACTTCAAAGGCAGAGATTGACCTTTGTCAAGGAAGCAAAGGCCTATCACGAAACTACCCACCACGATCTGCTTTTAGTTAGGAATTTTTACATTCAGACCACCTTCTGTGGTTACCTCCAGTCTCTCTGGGTTTGTGAAGCCAGTGGGCTTCCCCCAAGTTTGTCAGCTTTACTAAGTGGCCCCTTCTACATTCAAACCCTCTGAAGAATTCAGGAAAGAATGTTCCCATCTCCAAACCACCTGACATCCATCATCCAAACCACCTGACAGCTGTCTGATTACCATCTTGAACAAATCCAAAGGCTGGGAATGCAGGACTGATTCTTCTCAAGAATGTGACTTTTTATTGTAAAACTCTCAGCTTAAGATTGTAATAATTTGGCACAGTGACAGATGGTTACTAGACTTAGTGTGGTGAGCACATCACAAGGCACTGGAATGTCAAATCACTACACTGTACACCTGAAACTAATATAATATGGAATGCCAACTGTAATTTAAAAATTTTAAATACAAAACTCTCAGCTTTTCTTCTTCACAACACTATGGGTAGTGCCTAGGTTTTGTTTCTGACTTGAATCTCCTAAGAGCCTTTAATAATTCTTTGTCATTTACTTCTAGTCAAAGCCTTCTGTCTGTGCTGGGTGGACATTTAGAATCCTTTCTGATTTGAACATAAAACTCCTGCCTCCATGATGAAATTCTTACGGAGTTTGTTGTTGTTGTTAGCATGTAATGTCCTCATCTGTAAAATAAGGCTCAATAATTCCAATTTAACAGGATTAAATGAATATGGTTAATTATTGAAGGCACGTCGCGCAGTGCACGCTTCACAGAAAGCGCTCGGTAAAATGCAGTCCTCCCCGGATCCTACAATGCTCCACTTAACGGTAATGGAGCCTGTGTCCAAGGGGCTGTCTAAGGGGCTCTCCTGTGTGCACTGCCAAACGTATGGCCCAGCATCAAAACCATCCTGTAGTAAGAGCGGCAACCTCTCAGCTGTGCGTGACTAGTAAGAGCAGAGACATCTCACCAGTGCTCCACTAGAGAATACTGGGCTAGGCTTCGCGTGGGAATGTGACTGCCGGGAAACCACCCGAAGCCGGATCCCACTGGAAGAACTACAACTCCCATAGTGCTTCACGCGAGCTTAGGGCTACTCTCTGTTTTATCACTTCAGCCCAGGCCGCGAAGCTCTCAAAGACTCCGCCCCAGGGTTCTCTCTTTGCCTTTTCAGTCCCGAGCGTGGTCCCGTTCCAGTCACCGGAAGGAGCCGTATGACGTCACTAGGCCCTACTCATTGTGTAGGGAGGAGTTGAAGGACGGTCTCTAGCTGGGTTCCGGCGGCCCTGGAACCGCGGAAGAGGCTCTTGAGGACCGCCGCGATGCGGCGGGTCCATAAACTCCTGGATCTGTGAGTGAACCCTGTCCCCGCCTTCTCTTCGCCCCGACCCAGCGTCTCCCCCGCCCAGCCGGGTTCTGCGCTGCTCTCCCTCCCTCTTCCTTACCATCTCCTGGGTTCCTGATGTGTCGTCTACTTGTTGATGACAGTTGTTCCCCAGTGGGCTGCTGGGCTGGGTTGCCTCTCTGTCCCCTGCCCGGGACGTTCCCAGATGGGTGTCCGAATTCTCAGTCATCCTTGACAGCTCGACGCCCTGGTAGCTCCTGGCAGTGGCCTGTTTGTGACGGGAGTTGAAAGCTTTTGTAGAACAAAACACTAGATGGGGCTGTCAGAAGCCTTGAGCCAAGTTCCTCCCAGTTATAATAACTGGTATAAACATTAATTCTTTGAGGCAGCCTGGATTTTTGACTGGGATGACCGGGTGGAGCTCTCTCGGCTTTGCCTTTCACCAGCTATGTGACCATAAGAGAGGAACAGCCTCTCTCTGAGCCCCAGTGCTTGATCTATACAATCAGTGTAACAGTACCTGTCTAATGGAGTTGTAGTGAGGAAGAAATTTGACATACGTAAAGTCCTTAGAAGGATGCCTAGTGTCAAAAGAAACTTCTGAGAGCCTTACTTGATATGAATATTTTATTGAGGGGGAAACAAGGAACTCAGAGGCTAGTGACAATGAGGAAGTTGTTTAATCTTCAGGATGGTTATTGCAATGTAATGAGAGTATACTAAAAAGTATACTAAAAGTAGATTATCTTATACTATTTTTTTTTTTTTACTATTTATTTATTTTTAGAAAGAGGGGAAAGAGAGGAAAGAGAGAAGAAGGGAAACATTGATGTGAGAGAGAAACATCCGGAAATAGAACCGGCAACTTTCGCCTTGCGAAAGGATGCCCAACCAACTGAGTCACATGGGTCAGGGCCAATAAACTCTTTAGGTTCTAATGTGTGCAGCACTTTGTCTTCTTTTGGAAAGGAATCATAGAACCTTTTGGACCTGGTGGACATAAGCCTCTCGATATAGCCTTAGTGCCTTAGCATACTGAATTATGTTGTGACTTAGGATAAACATGAGGATATCTCATTTCAATAGGAGGCAGTGTTATAGGTAAGTTCCCATTTAAGTTAGTCCTTTAAATGGTATAAGCAATCAGGTATTTAATAAAAAAACATTTCTATGGAACAAAAAAAAGACAAAGGTTAATAGGTGCAGCAATTATAAACTGAGTTTCTGAGTCTAGAGAGCAGCCAGTCAAGAAAATTTCTGGATTTGAGCTTCAGTCTTTAGATGGTGGAATGAGCATGGCAGTTTTAATCTGATGAATTTTCCGGGGTTGCAGTTTGAATGTCTCTGTTGATGACATCAGATGACCTGGTGAGCTTTCTGAGTGATCCACACAGAAGTAGGCATGAATATTGTTTACACATGATCTGTTGTGGTCTCAGCTCTGCCATTATGTTGTGAAAACAGCTATAGACATAGCTATGTTCAAAGAAAACTTTATTTACAAATGCAGGCAATAGACCAGATATGGCTGATGGGCTGTAGTTTTCTTACCCCTGGTTTAGGGTAAGGATAACAGCTTTCACATTGCCCTGATCAGCCAATACTGCTGCAGTCTGTTTTCCAAAATTCTGATTCAACTGGACACCCAATGAACCCCATCAGCTTTCAACTGAGCTGAACCATCAGTGAACTAGGTAGGCCCAGACATTTAGTGAAACTTCTGTGAATCAAGGGCCCCACTGAGCCAATTGCTTTGCTTCAGGTGGTATGAGTGGTGGATACAGTGTCCCCCAAAGCTGTCACTTCTCCACAAAAAACAAAGATCCCTCTAGAGCCAGGTCAACTGTGACTTTTTAAAAAATTATATTTGACATACATCATATTTGTTTCAAGTGTACAACACAGTGACTTGACACCTGTATACCTTACAAAGTGACCACCACGATAAATCTAGTAACCATCTGTCACTGTACAAAGTTATTACTATAGTATTTACTGTATTCCCTATGCTATACATTTAATCCCTATGACTTATTTATTTTATAACTAGAAACTTGTACCTCTTAACCCTGTTCACCTTTTTGCCCTTCCTCTTACCACCCTCCCCTCTGGTAACTATCAGTTCTGTGTATCTCTGTATCTCTGTTTCTCTTTTTATTTGTTTGTTCATTTCTTGTTTTTTTTTAGATTTTATAGATAGGTGAAATCATACAGTATTAGTCCTTCTCTGTCTGACTTATTTCACTTATAATACCATCTAGGTCTATCCATGTTTTCCCATGGCTGAATAATATTACATGTGTATATATGCCGTATCCTATGTATCCATTTATCTATCAATGGACACCTAGGTTACCTCCATATCCTAGCTTTTGTAAATAATTCTGCAATGAATGTAAGGCTGCATATATCTTTTCAAAAGAACACTACTCTTTTCTTTGTATAAATACCCAGAAATGAAATTGCTGGGTTGTATTATAGTTATACTTTTTATTTTCTTCCATACTGTTTTCCATAATGGCTGTACTAGTTTATCAACTTGAATACACTGTTTTCATATGATCAGCAAAGCCTTTGGGCCCTTCTATTACAAGTTATAGAGTCCAAGTTGATCCATGTCAAAATAAGGATATCAGGCCATACAGTCAGTCACAAGGTCTCATGCTCAGGCATTCAACAAGAGCTTATTAACAAGTTAATAGTTGCCTTAAAAAAAATATGTGGTGGCAGATGCATCAGGCAGGTAGTAATGTTGTATAGGCATACCTCATTTTATTGTGCTTTATTTTATTGCACTTTGCAATTTTTACAAATCTAAGGTTTGTGGCAACACTTTGCTGAGCAAGTCTATCAGTGCCATTTTTCCAACATTTTCTCACTTTGTATTTCTGTGTCACATTTTGTTCATTCTTGCAATTTTCAAATTTTATTATTATTATTATATTTGTTATGGTTATCTATGATCAGTCATATTTGATGTTACTATTGTAATTGTTTGGGGTATCCACAAACAATATCCATATAAGATGGCAAACTTAATTGATAAATGTGTATAATATGACTGCTCCACCAACTGATCCCTCCCTCCTTTTCTTTCCCTCTCCTTGGACCTTCCCATTTCTGAAGACCCAATAGTATTGACATTAAGCCAGTTAATAACCCTACAGTGGACTCTTAAGTGTTCAAGTAAAAGGAAGAGTCACATGTCTCACTCTAAATCAAAAGCTAGAAATGACTAAACTTAGTGAGGAAGCCATGTTGAAAGCCAAGATAGATCAACAGCTAGGCTTCTTGCTCCAAACAGCCAAGTTGTGAATTCAAAGGAAAAATTCTTAAATAAAATTTAAAGTGCTACTCCCATGAATACATGAATGATATAAGAGTGAAACAGCCATATTGCTGATATAGAGAAAGTTTTAGTGGTCTGGCTAGAAGATTAAAACAACTACTACATTCCCCTATGCCAAAACCTAATCCAGAGCAAGACTCTGACTCTCTTCAATTTTATGAAGGCTAAGAGAGGCCAGAAACCTGCAGAAAAAAGTTTGAAGCTAGCAGACATTGTTCATGGGGCTTAAGGAGGGAAGCCAGATCCATACAAGGTAAAGCAGCAAGTGCTTATGTAGAAGCTACAGGAAGTTATCCAGAAGATCTAGCTAAGATAATTAATGAAGGTGGCTACACTAAACAACAGATTTTCAATATAGGCAAAACAGCCTTCTATTGGAAGAAGATGCCATCTAGGACTTTCATAGTTACAGAGGAGAAATCAATGCCTGGCTTCAATGCTTCAAAGGACAGGTTGACTCTTTTGCTAGAGGCTAATGCAACTGGTGACTCCAAGTTGAAGCCAATGCTCATTTACCATTCCAAAAATCCTAGGGTCCTTAAGGATCATGCTCAGTTTACTCTGCCTGTCCTCTGCAACTAAAACAACAAAGCCAAGATGACAGTTTGTCTATTTACAATATAGTTTATCAAATATTTTAAGCCCACTGTTGAAACCTACTGCTCAGGAAAAAAAAATCTTTTCAAAATATTTCTGCTCATTAACAGTGTACCTGGTGACCCAAAAGCACTGATGGAGGTGTCCATGAGATTAATGTTGTTTCATGCCTGCTAACACAACATCCACTCTATCCCATGGGTCAGGAGTAATTTAGACTCTCAAGTCTTATTTAAGAAATACATTTTGTAAGGCTACAGCTGCCATAGATAGTGATAGTAAATGGTAGATTATAGATGTACCTGGGCAAGGTAAATTGAAAACCTTCTGAAAGGGATTCATCATTCTAGATGCCATGATTCATGGGAAGTCAACATCAACAAGAGTTTGAATAAGTTGATGGAAGACTTCAAGGAGTTCAAGACCTCAGTGGTGGAAGTAACTGCAGATGGGGTAGAAATAGCAAGGGAACTAGAGTTTTTATGTATGTATGTATTTATTTTAGAGAGAGAGAGAGAAACATTGATTAGTTGCCTCCCATACACGTCCCAACCAGAGATCAAACCCACAACCCAGGTATGTGCCCCTACCAGGAATCAAACCTGCAACCCTGTGGTGCATGGGATGATGCTCCCAACAACTAAGCCTTCCACCCAGGACAAGAGAACTAGAATTTTAAGTGGAGTCTGAAGGTGTGACTGAATTGCTACAATCTCATTTTAAAAACTTCAATGGATGAGGATTTGCTTCATACGGATGAGCAAAGAAAGTGTTTTCTTAAGATAGAATTGACTCCTGGTGAAGATGCAGTGAAGACTGTTGAAATGACAACAAAGGATTTAGAATATTACATAAACTTGGTAGAGCAGCAGCAGGGTTTGAAAGGATTGACTCCAAATTTTTTTTACTCTAATTTTAAAAGAAGTTTTATAGTGGGCGAAATGCTATCAAATAGTATCACATGCTACAGAAAAGTTGTTTGTGAAAGAAAGAGTCAATGTGACAAACTTAACTTTTTTAATTTTAAGAAATTGCCTGTGCTCGCTCACTTCAGCAGCACATATACTGAAATTGGGATGATACATAGATTAGCATAACCCCTGCACAAGGATGACACAACAATTCATGAAGTCTTTCATATTTTAAAAGAAAGAAATTGTCAAAGCCAACACAGTCTTAGTAACCACCACCCTGATCAGTCATCAGCCATCAACATCAAAGCAAAACCCTCCACCAAGAAAAAAATGTTACAATCCACTGAAGTCCCAGATGATGGTTAGCATTTTTTTAGCAATAAAGTACTTTTATACTAAGGTATGTACATTTTTAGACATAATGTTACTATACATTTAATAAACTACATTATAATATAAAGTTTTATGTGCACTGGGGAACCAACAAAATTCATGTGGCTCACTTTATTGCAATATTTGCTCTATTGTAGTAGTCTGGAACTGAACCTGCTATACCTCCAAGGTTTTCCTGTACTTGAAAAAGCTTGTCTGAATACTCTGGTAGCTTTAAAGTCTTTAAAGCTGTGATTGTTCTTTCTCTTCCTGTGGTTCTATATGGTTTCTGCTATACTCCTCAGGAGGGTACAGAGAAGTAGGTAGGCTATGAAGCTAGGTACATGGTCCATATAACCCCTCTACATGTCTCTGTTCTAAACAGGAGAATCCACTCTGATACTTATGGACTAGGAAAGTATAACCATGTAACACATTTATATCAATTATACGTTCAGTAGCAAAACCCACAACAACACTATACTGATAGACCCAAAGGGCTCCACCATGAGGTCACTTTAGCATCTCTTCCTCACTGAGAACTTTACCGAAAACCCATCAGTTGAATTTGGGTGCCTTTTCCCCCCTAAAATATCAGAGACCAGAAGCTTTTTTTAAAGATTTTTATTTTATTTCTTTAGAGAGAGAGGAAAGGAGGGAGAAAGAAAGGGAGAGAAATATGGATTCACAAGAGAAACAGCAATCAGTTGCCTCTAGCATTCCCCAAACTGGGGACCTGGCCCACAACCCAGGCATGTGCCCCAACTGGGAATCAAACCAGCAACCTTTTGGTTCACCGCTAACCAGGCCAGTGCTCAACCCACTGAGCCACACCAGCCAGGGCAGAGACCAGAAGCATAATGAATGTATGAGTTATGAATTACAGCAACAGTCAACACAAGACTATGTTATTATTCCCTGGCTATCAGTGTGAGGAGTGCAGAGTGGTCAGAAAGGCTAGCTCATACAGAGTCTTGGGAGTGGCCAGGATGCAATTTTTCTCCCTTGGCTGTCTACTCCAGTGTTGGTGCCTGGGCGTAGGCACTGCTTCCTCCTCTGGGTACCTCCCAGTGATCATTTCAGCTCATAGGTCCCTTTCTTTATGCCCCAGTGGACACCACTGCATTTTACCTTACAGTCCTTGATAACATTGGCCATCTTTATGCTCAGCACACCATGATCCTCACCAGTCACGTTGGACTGTGGTGGGAGCAAGATATATGAGCAGTTGCCCTTGCACTATTTGGTAAGGATTGATTATTCCCCTATGTGTTGAGGGGCTGTTCCCTGTGGCTCAACAAAATGAACTTCTCATGGTTTTGATTCACCCAAAATTCTGTCAAATAGCAAGGTCCTCACTACTGATACCACTTATGTCAGCTTACCTCAGACGCCATAATAATGTTGTCATTTAACTGGAGCCACAGGATTTGCTACCCTAATTGTCATAATAGCATTCCTTCCTCCCATATAGAGGAGTGTGAGCAATAACCAAACACCACTCATGTGGCTTGTTTCAATCCTACTTCTCATCAATAGGCAGGACAGTGGAGAGCTCTTACTCCTTTTCCCTTCACCCAGCAACTGAGTGAGAGCATTTGTTTCCAAACCACAGGGAGTCTTCTCATATCCCCAGACCCACCCCACAGGATTTTTGCCCTTCCTCTTCCATAAAGCTATGTTTTGGTCAGCATCCAGTTCTCATTACTAAACCGTCAGATCTAGGATTTGATTTTATTTCACCTACATACTAATAGATTAGACCGCTACTGTTTCATGGATGCTGGCAGAAGACACAAGATTCCTGGGCTAGAGACAAAGAACTTTGTTACTCACAGTAGAGCAAGTAGCATGAGCATTAACATATTTGCCTTCATTCCCCTTCTTCCCCAAATCCCATGGGTGTGACACAGAGGTCTCAGATGAATGCCTGCACATATCTGTGGTTGCATTTCAGAAAAGGAACACAGAGCTTTGGTAATAAATTGTTTTATAGCAAACAATATGCATACCTGCCCTTAATCCTCGAAGTAGACAAGACCTAATCTCTCAGGATTGCTTGTTGCAAACACAGCCAACCTGAGAAATAGCCCAAATGAACAATTGGGACCTTCCATTTGTGGCATACTCACAAAAATGTGAAAGACCTAACTATGACGAAAAGGCAGAAGTTGGGAAATTATCTCACCTTCATTTTTAACTCAATTTAACAACTTACAGCGTTTTTTAAATATACAGTACATCAGTATGTCTCTCCCCTGTGCCTCCCTCTCTGTCTGTCTCTCTCACATACCACCCTTTCCAAAAATTGTTTGGAATCCAATGAGATGGAAGAACTTGGTACTCAAAAGTAAGCAAACTTAAAATGACCAATTCATTTGAAAAGAAACTGAGTATGTATTTGAAAAAAAAAAAGGAATCACAGCATTTCCTATTAATGGGACTCAGATATTTGTTAAATGGATGAGAAGTTTGATGAGATTTGGAAGATTTACAAAATGGCAGCGTAAGGAAGCTCCATGGACCTGCTTCCCAAGAAAATAAGCATGAAGTTGAAAGTTGTAACACAAAAGCAACCACTTCAACTCTCTGGAAATCCTCCTGAGGGCATGCAGAAAATGAGGAAACAGTCATTCAAGATAATCTATTAAAATTCAGAACAGTGAGTGTCTGTGGCATTTCAACTATACCTGTTCCCTTCCTGCACCACCTCTCCCACTCCAGCTTGACTGGAAGTTTCAGTCCAGGTGAGTATACCTCAGATGACGGGACTACCTCTCCTCTAAGCTTCCAGTTAAAGGCTTCGGTATCTTCCTGAGAATGCCTGGATGCCAATGTTTCTCATCATCTCTCACACCAAAAACTTCTTCTCAGGCTCAATTGTAGTCAAGTATGGCTAAGAGGTTGGGGGGATGCTACTTCCACCTACCCCTCACTCATAGGGCAGAGGCTTATCTCAGCATATTATTCTAGGGATACTGAGGTCTCAGTCTCCCTCATCTGAGCTCATTCATGAGGAAGTTTCCATCCTAGAAGAGGCAAGCCAAGAAGACCAGAGGTTATCGCCCAGAACCCTGCTCCTAAACCAGGGTGTCACTTAGAGAGAAGTAATCATTATCTGTTAGGATTGTCGGTGACATGGACTGTGAAAGAATTCACAAAAAGAAGAATGTGTAGAGAGTTTTTATTCACTCTCCAAGAATGGAGAGGGTTGTGATCTGGAGAGATACATCAGCATTGAGGGGTAGGGGATTTGAGCTTTTTTTGAACTATAATTGGATTATAAAAGGGTGGAGGTTGCTACTGTGAGGCCCCTGGGTTGTTGCAGGTGTTGTAGCACAAGGCTACAGTTTATTATCTTTTGCCTGTGGCTGTAGGGAGCAGTTAGTTGCATTCTGTTCTTGATTTCCTGTAATGTCTAGTCCTGGGGAACATAAGCTCAGAAAAGTAAAATGGCAGTCATGTTTAACAAGGTCATGGGCCTGCTAGGCAAATGGTGCCACCATAGCAAATGGTACTGACTTTATCCTTTTATCATCCTGCTCCCAGCTCTGAAATTATGCCTCAGAGCTTTTTCTTCCCCAGAGGGAGAGGCAGGCTGCAAAACAGAGAATACCAAAGCTCCCAAGAAACTGACTTTATTTGAACATAGGGTGAGTGAAGTTCAAGCCTACGTGCACTCTCAAAATCAGTGGAGATTTTGGTATTAAGTAATTGCAAAGAAGCTGATAGCTTCATGTGAGATACCAGATAAACATAGGCCAGCAAGTTTATTAGAGAAGACCTAGGAAAGAGACATCTTACAAGAGTTAGCCTGAGGTGAGAACAAACCTTAGAAATTAACACTGTAAAGGAGTCCAAAGTGAATTGGATGAAATTGTGAACCAATTTATACTCCCAGGCATTGCTGAAAAAATTAGAGCAGTCTAATAAGTGGATGCTAACAGCTGGCTTAACAGAATAATGAAAGAAAGAGATAGTCAAAAAGAGCCCTGCTAAAATCAGAGTCTTCCCAGCGTGACAATACTTCCAAAGCTGTGACTTCTCAATACAAACAACACAAGAATACCTTGCAAAACTACTTGTGCAAAAAAGGAGTTAACAGTCAAAACTTACAAAGCATAAAAAGAAAAAAATAGCATAAAAGAGACAACAGAAAATAGGAGAATTGATACTTTAGGAATTACAGATGAGAGAATAATTTGAAAGATATTTTAAAACAAATACATTAGAAATGTTAAAAAACAACGGAATAGGTATTTTTCAGGGAAGAACACAAATAACAGACATTTTTTAAAAATTAGAAGCCCTAGGAAAGAAAAATATAGTCTTTGAAATAACAATCTAAGTTACCTTGCATGTTTCATAATGGATCATAGACTGGAATTTGATACATCCTATCTATCTAAAATAAGACGTACTGTTTCCCTTTCTTTTCTACTCATATAGTTGGCTGAGTATGGGACCCTGGGGGTGCCATTGAGGTCATACTGCAGGTTGGCCTTATCCTACTACTTGGCCTACTGTTGATAATAACCTTAATTAAATGCTTTAAGAGACAAATTGAACAAATTTGATTTCAGCATCTGTTGGTCAAATTAATCTAAGTAGCTGACAGAGTGACATACTTGTATAAATATTTGAGTTTATCCAAGAACATGTTGGGATGGATAGTTGGGAGAGGCAACCTTCGATGAACCAGTACATTCCTGCTGGGTATGTCCAGAATGCAGGGCCCTGGTTGCTCTTTATCTAGGTAATTTCTCAAGGTTGTGTTTGTAGCAAGTAATCTTAAGGGTGAAGTATTGTCCCCTTCCAAAAAAGAGCAGGCTTGCTTTAGTTTGCTATAAAAGTGGTGA